TGTGATATGCTGTCACTATCCAGTGCTGCAACAGGTCCTCTTCAAATGCTGGCCACTCTATCTTGAACTGCCTGGAATCCAGAATCAATATCCAAACTTACCACCCAGATGGATCCCACAAATAATTCTCCAGGCTCTAGTCTGATGAGTTTGCCTGATCTTCCCCTCCACACATATTTCCCAACCCAGTATATCTAGCCCAAGTCTAATATTCCAGATTACTCTGCTCATCCCTGCCTCTGCAGCAACCAACCTGTAGGTTTCTGCCAGGAACTACTCTGCCTGCCACTCAACCTGTAGCCTCTTGTATGCCACATTCAACCTCTCTACTCAGATAGGTCTATCCCCACACTACAGGCTTAGACTAGAAAACAAATTCAATACACTAGCCCAGTCTGCCTTCTCCACCTGACTTCATTCCACCTAGTATCCAGAATGTAAATTTATATCTAGTATAAATTCTTCAGTCTTGGGCACCCTGTTACTGCTATAAAAAGAGAAAATGATATTCTTTGCCTGCTTCCTATGTATTATTTAATGTATGTCATAGGAAGGTCTGTATTGCTATTTTTTATATTTTTATAATTGTAATTTGACCAGTTTTAAATTGGAAACAAGCTTCACTTACATGTCAATCCCAGTTCCCTCTCCCTTCATTCCACACATGCTCCCCCACCCCCTATCCCAAACCTTTTCTGCTTCCTAGGAAGTGTGAGGCCTTCCATGGGGGGAAATCTTCAACATCTGTCAAATCATTTGGAGCAGGCCTAGACCCTCCCCCATGTGTCTAAGCTGAGAGAGTATCCCTCGATATGAAGTAGGTTCCCAAAATCTCTTGTTGTACTAGGGATAAAAACTGATCCATTACCAGAGGCCCCATAGATTGCCCACAACTCCACACTGACATCCTCATTCAGAAGGTCTGGAACAGTCCTATGCTGGTTTCCCAGCTATCAGTCTGGAGTCCATAAGCAACCCCTTGTTCAAGTCAGCTGTTTCTGTGGGTTTCCACATCCTTGACCCCTTTTCTCATCACTCCTCACTCTCTGCAACTGGATTTCAGAGTTCAGCTCAGTGTTTAGCTGTGGTGTCTGTGTCTGCTTCCATAAGCTACTGGATGAAGGCTCCAGAATGGCATATTATGTAGTCATCAATCTCATTATCAGAGAAGGGCATTTAAGCTAGCCTGTCAACTATTGCTTAGATTGATAGTTGGGTTCAAACTTGTAGATCTAAGAATATTTCCTTAGTGCCTGATTTCTCTTTAAACCTAAAATGGCTCCCTCTATTGTGGAATCTCTTTTCTTGCTCTCCTTATTCTTCTGCTGACTAAATCTTCCTGCTCTCTCATATCCTCCTCTTCCCTCCTTTGATCCCCTTTTCTTTCTTCTAACTCCATCTCCCCTCCCCTCATGCTCCTAAATTGCTCGGGAGATCTTGTCCCATTCCCCTTCTCTGGGGACCATGTATGTCTCTCTTAGGGTCCTCCTTTTTTTCTAGCTTCTCTTGCAGTATGGATTGTAGGCTGGTTCTTCCTTGCTCTATGTCTAAAACTCATATATGAGTGAGTACATACCATTTTTATCTTTTTGTAACTGGGTTACCTCACTCAGGATGTTTTCTTCTAGTTATATCCATTTGCCTTCAAATGTCAAGATTCCATTTTTCCCCGCTAAGTAGTACTCCATTGTGTAAATGTACCACATTTTCTGTATTCATTCTTCAGTTGAGGGGCATCTAAGTTGCTTTCAAGTTCTGGTTATTACAAATAATGCTTCGATAAACATGGCTGAACAGATGCTCTTCTTATATGGATGTGTATCTTTTGGGTATATGCCTAAGGATGGAATTGCTGGATCTTGTGGTAGGCTGATTCCCATTTTCATGAGGAACCACCATATTGATTTCCAAACTGGCTGTAAGAGTTTGCACTCCCACCAGCAGTGGAGCAGTTTTCCCCTTTCTCCTCATCCTCTCCAGCATAAGCTTCCATTTGTGTTTTTGATTTTAACAATTCTGACAGGAGTTAAGATGGAATCTCAGAGTTGTTTTGATTTGCATTTCCCTGATGGCTAAGGATGTTGAGCACTTTCTTATGTTTCTTTCAGCCATTTTAGATTCCTCCATTGAGAATTCTCTATTTAGTTCTGTACCCTACTTATTAATTGGATGAGTTAGTGTTTTGGTAACTAGCTTCTTGAGTTCAGTGAGCCTATGAAGGGAAAACCTTGTCCCCTCCCCTTTGTCATTCTCTGTCTGATACCTGGCTGCTATGGGATGAATAGCTTTACACACTAATATGGTGTTGCCACTCGCCACAAGTTCAGAACCAATGAAGACTAATAACCGTGTCCTGAAATCCATGAAAAAGTGAGCCAGAATAAATATTTCTCTTTAAATTGATTTTCTTCAAGTATTTAATCACAGTGATGGATAACTGACTAACAAGTCTCAATAAGGTATGAGGAAAATTGAATTTTGCTTTTGTAATCTCCCTCCAAATGAGCCACAGCTCCAGCATAACCATGAAAGAAAAAAAAAACTCAGAAATATTCTAACAATAGCTAACCAGTCATTTAAAATGAGAAAAGTCATCAAGAGCAGAACACATTTAAGACATGGCAATTGAAATAATGTGGTATCATAGATAGGTGCTTAGAACAGAAAAAGCAAATTAAACACAACCTAAGGAATCTGAATATGAAGATTTAGTTAATACTAATAATGAGCTAATAATGTTTGGTTCATCAGCTGGAATAAATGTACTACACTAATGTGACATGTTCACAATTAATAGGAAAAACTGGGGATAGAGCATGTGGTAATTCTTTGCACCATTTTCACAAGTCTTAAATTTATAAAACATATTAAAACATAAATTCACTAAAATGTAGAGTAACTTATCTTTTTAAGTCTGATATTTTAATTATCTTATAGATAACAAGGTCCATGCCCAAAACAGAAAAGATGAACATTGAGACTGCTCTCTTAGAAGTCATCTGACACAAAAGTGAGCAGAAGGCTGAGGAAAAAGAAGAGTAAGAATTACCCCAGATTCATAATCCAGTTATTACACTCCAACACCCTACTTCAATAAGCAAGTCTTTACTGAGCTCTGTGTAGAGTTGTAAGTGAAACATATAATCTATCCAAGAGTATTAATTTTTACTTTATCTCTAGGACTGGACTCTATTAGATGTAAAAAGAGGAACCAATCATTGTTGTTGAGATGCGTAAACTTTATAGTAGTGATTATAGTAGAAGAATATAAGCAGAGAATATTTAATTGCAATCATAAAAATATTGAGAGGTAGATATTTAACAACAACAAATAAACCCCACTCCTAATAACATAGAAATATTTTGGAGGAAAGCAGACTTGAACCAAGTTACATTCTAGAAAGAGTGTTCAACTATGGAAGGCATATTCACCACAGTCCTCTTTAGGAAACTCATAGGACCACCACTTCAAGAGCTAGGCTTTTGGGGCTCTAATCTCAGTTCTTTTGCTTTCAATTTGTGTGATCTTATGTTCAAGCAACCATCTGGCACACCAGTTTCTTCTCTGTACACCATAGTTATAACGATACACTCCATTGCTTGTATTTAGAGTCCTAGGACATAAAATGGTAATCTAAGAGGAATTCATTATAAAGGAAATATCATCAAAAGTCGGGATATATAAGAGTACCATAAAGAACCCAATGCCTCTTGCTATGTGATGAAAGTAGGAAGGTTTTCCTGCAAAGTATATGGAGGCATATGTGGGGTCTTATCCATATGAAAGCCAGTGTCCCTTGATAGAGCTAAGAATTTAACATTCAGATTTCACACTCCTCTGAACACATTCTATTTCCTACCAGCTTTTCAGCATGCCCTACAGGATGAAGGACAGCCTTCCTTGCTTAATGTGTTCCATCAAAGTCAGTTTCCTGTGATAGATGGGAAAGCAGAAGATTTGTGAGACTCAACACAAATAGTATGTATAGTTGTCAGGCACAAAATATCCTCCATAAATATTAACTATTGTCTTTATTATTGAGTATTATTGTTACTTCTATATTACCAGTATTCTATGTTTTATGGGATTTGGGAGGTACTTTCAAAAGCACAGGTGAAAATTTGAGTCTAACAGAACCAGTAATGAGAGAGGGGTCACTAGAGTATGAACTATCATACCCCACCACAAACAATCACAAACACATAATTGATAATCACATGAATGGAGTTTTAAAAAGGAGGAACAGTGAGGAATAAAGTTACAACAGTAATTACTGAAATATTTTTTAAAAAATAAAGTCCATTAAAACAGACTGTTCCACATAGAGTGTTAAGTTAGAAAGTGAGTAAAGGCAAGGAATGAAAAAGGCTCAAGTTTTAAGAAGTGTGTTTTCTATCTCACCTGTGTGACTTTGAGTAAATTCTGCTTTCTCTGCCCCTATATTTTAACTGGGCAAAGGGTATTCAGATATTTAGCAAATATCTGAATATTTTGATTGGCCTAACTGATGTTAGGCCAATAATGATGAGATTAGTATTTAAATCAGTAGGCAATGCCTGGCATGTCTCAGCCCCAAGCCATGGAAGCCATGAGTTTGGTCCTGAGTGGGGGAGCGTGGACTTGGAAACACCTTGGGTGACTGTCCAGGTAGCAAGATTTTTCTGTCAATTCTAGAGTTTATATATTATCCTTCTGTGGTCTTTGATAGAGTTGAAGACAGATAGTTATGGCTATAGTTTTCTTCAGTTATTATAAAAGATAAGTAACCCTTCTTTTTATTTAGACAGGAAAGAGGAGATGATGGGGAATGTACTTCTGTGTATGTTCAACTTATTGATTGTTGAATAAAGTACTGTTTGGCCAATGAGACAACAAGTTAGGAGGGACTAAGAATCAAGGAGGAATCTGGGAAATGTAGTAAAGAAGTGATGATCCAGGCAGGAAATGACTCATACATAAACAAGGGAAGAAGGAAGTGGGCCCCTTCTTCTCTCCTCCTCCAGAGTCACCATGTGATCCCAGGATGAGGACACCAATGGAAGGCGTCTGATAACATAAGTATTATAAAATATATAGATTTATGATAATTAAGACTGAGCTAACAGATGAGAATCCTAGGCATTGTATAAGCAGCATTTGTACCTAATAGAAGCCTCTGTGTATTATTTGGGGCCCTAACTCAGCAGGCAGAACTCAGGTGGCTGGTAGCTGAAAGACTTAACGTAACAAAGCATGCAAAGGGACCTCTCTGATGAAAATGGACTTGATTCAATTAATGAAAGATGTGAATAGAACAAAAGGCAGAATAACCAGAAACTCTTCTCATCTGGTTGCTGAGCTGAGGTACTTGTCTTTTCTGGCTTTCTGACTCATTCTAAAATATAAAATTACTGGGTCTTAAGAGTTTGCCAGATTTTAAACCATTGACTTTCCTGGTTACCAGCTCTTTTGACTTGGCATAACTGCACCATGGGATCTTTGGTGTCTTGATACTGAAGGTTTGGGGCTTATCAGCCTTTATCATTATGTGAACTTATTCTTTATAATGGATAGGTAGATCCATCTCCTATTGTATCTCTTCCCCTGGTGAGCCATAATTAATGCAGAAAGCACTAGTGTCATAAAGTATAAAATGGAGATCATCAACATAAGGAGAATTATTATGGTATATTTGTGAAGTGTTTCACCTAGTTTTCCCAGGATTTGGTAGTACAAAAAAGAATGTGACAGCTTGACTTTACCAAGACAAGATAGGATAGTACTATTAAATTCTTGCTTCAAAGAAAAGTCTGTCAGATATTCTAGGCCTGTAGGCCAAATATGGATGCCGGAACGTTAAAGAGGAACCTTGGATGATTGTTGAGGCAGGCAGATATCTCTGTCATTTCTAAAGTTTTGGATGTTGTTTGCTCTGCACTTCCTGTTTACTCAGGTAATATCATGTCATCCTTCAGTATTTGATAGGTTGAAGACCAGGTAGTTATACTTTCACAATTTTCCTTGTTACTCAATTCCAAAAAAGAAACTTATGTAAGAAATGTAGAGTTTATGAGGTTGAAAAACCAAAAAGCTTAAGTTGTTTATCTAAAAGGATGTTTTAGAGTATAAAAAGATATTTTTAGGATGCTAATACAAGTTGTTACATAAAGTGGGTTAGGTATAAAACTTTGAACTCACTAATTAAAGATAGGTAATGTAGTACTTTCTCCAAGTTTGCCAAATACAAATGACTGGACATTATGAGTGTAATTCTTGCCTAATAATTATTCTTTCTGTATATATTTTTACTACATTACATTTAAAACCTTTCCTTTTTATTTAGACAAAAGGAGGAAATGTTGTGGGATATTTGTACACTATATGAGGATATATTGCTGTGATTGTTGTAATAAAAGGCTGAATAGATGACAACTTGGCAGGAGGTATATGCAGGATTTCTGGGGAAAGAAAGAGGGGGGAATGTAGTTGCACAGGAGATGCTAGGAGACACACAGAAGAAACAGGAGGTACAAGATGGAAGATAGGTAATGCCATGTGATAGAACATAGATTAATGTAATAGGATAAGTTATAAGAACTAGCTATGAACAAGCCTAAGCTATAGGCCAAGCTTTCATAATTACTAAGAAGTATCCATGCCATTATTTGGGGGCTGGCTTGTGGGACAGAAAAAGTCTTTTTACAGTGATTTCAGTGAGTAAATCTACCCAAAGCAACCTGCACACAGTAGACATCCAAGGGAAGTATTGGTTCCCCTGTAAGTTCAGCAATTGAAATACTAACCAATAGGAATAAAATAGAGGGCTGTCTTTCTAATAGACATCCTTTCTGCCTCCAGGGTTTAATAGACTCCATTAATATCTATCAAACATTCTTGGGAATGGTAATATAAAGCCATCATTGCTCTATATGTGGCAGCCTAATGAGCCAGCTTCTCCCAGTGAGGCAATAATTTACTCACAGGTCCCACAGTGGCTAGAACAAGTTAAGACAGCTTTCCAAATTGACCAGTTCTTGCACAAAGAGAATTGCATTATTATGTTACTCTTTCTGTGTGATTTGTTCAACACAGCTCTATGCAGGATAAACCAATGTGATACCTGCCCTCTAGGATTTTGCTCAGCAGGGATTTAAATGACAGCTTCAAGCCTGGAAATCAGGCAGTCAGTCCTAGCTTCAGGCCAGTGGGGTTTTCTCAAAACTACAGAAGTGTTAGATCTAGCCATGCATAACCATTCCTTGGGGAAGGACTAGAGGAAGGACGACATTGGGCAATTTCTCAAGCTCCATTTCTCAATAAAATGTCTCAATATTTGTGCACACAGGGGCTTTTCTATGTCGGCCAATCCATATCGGATGATGATATATGTCACTTAGTGGTGATGGAAGGCCGAAACGCAGAAGCCATTTTTTGGAGTCAAGGATTGCAGGCCCGAAGCTAATTTGGCAGGAGAGATATTTATGATCTTAACCATAGCATAACAGGCTCTTCATCTCTTCCTGAGTCTGGGAAGTGCTGTAAACACCAGAGTGTGTATCCTTCACCCACAGTTTAATGTTTGAAACACATTAGAGGGATTTTTAGGCCAAAGTGACTAAATAAAACGATACTAAAACATTACATAGTAGGATAAACACTGCCTCAGAAAGCAGAAGCAAGAATTTTCTAGCCTCTTGCAATCCTAACAAGCCAAGTGACCTTGGGCAAGTCACTTCATCTTTCAGGGATGAAACCATGTGACTTGACAAAAGGGTTAATTCATGAGATTCTTCCAGAACTGGGCATTTCTACAATTGTGCTTTCTCCTGTGGGTAATGGTGACAAAGATCAACATCAGTATGTTAATCCTCGAGAGTTTCTTTTGCAAGATGCTTTCTGCTTACAAAAGCTTCCCACCTATATTATTTAACCACATACACATAGCATTCCTTTAAAGAAGCCAAGCCACAATACAAAAAGGAAGAAAAGGACAAACGGCTTCCCTAATGTGAATGGGATTGTTTACAAGAGTTTGACAAGAGTCATATGACCTTTCACTGCCATAGTACATTTTAGCTCTAATCTACTAGTCTCTCTCCTGTGCTTTGTTACAGTCTCTGCTCAAATGCTAACTTTCAAGGAAAGCCTGTCCTCCATCCCTCTTGATAAAATAACATCAATTGAGCTGCCCCCCTCTGTCTTCCTTCTGCCTTCTTCTGCCTCAGCACTTTGTGCTCATTTATAGGTCAGATTTGTGCCCAATGAAAAGTCAATTGTGTAAAGCATTTGGTCAGATCTTGTTCCTCCCTGTGTTCTTCAAACTCACCACAGTGTCTGGTCAGTAGTAGACATTCAATCAATAACTGTTAGGTGATAAATGAACAAATGAGGTGAAGCAAAGAAATGACTGAAAATTTTTATTTTTTCTTTAAAAAATGGAAGGTCTCTTTATCCTTTAACAGTATGGGCTCATTTCCTGAAATACCTTGATTGAAATCTATATATCTGATATATATTCTTTTTTATTTTAATTTGGTTTTTATTATGGATATAAATGACATTTTACACTTAAAAATGTTTCCCAGCAATCTGATATACTAGTTTACATTTTGCTGTTGTTTGTGGTGTTGCTATTTTTATTTAGTTTAGAAACAATAATATTTTACATATAATCCCAGTTTCCTCTCTCTCCCATCCTCTCATGCCCCACACCAACCCTCCATCCCCACATCCAATCCCCAAGGATGGTGAGTATTTCCAGGGGGTATCACCAAAGTCTGTCACATCATTTGGGGGAGGGCCTAGGCCCCCTTCCACATACCTGGGCTGCAATAGTATTTCTCCATAGGGAATGGGCTCCCAAAGTCCATTTATGCACTAGGGATAAACACTGGCTCTGCTGTTAGAATTCCTATAATCTGCCCAGGCCTCCTAGCTGGCATCCACATTCAGAGGGCTTGGTACAGTCCCATGCTAGTTTTCCAGCTTTAGAATAGGGTCCCTGGGCTCTCACTAGGTCAGGTAAACTGTTTCTGTGGGTTTCTCCAGCATCGTCTTGGATGCTATGCTCATCCCTCCTCCCACTCTACAACTAGATTCCAGGAGTATGGCTCAGTGCTTAGCTGTGGGTGTCTGTGTCTGCTTCCATCAGCTACTGGATGAAGGCTCTAGGATGACAATTAAGGTAGTCATCAATCTCATTGTAGGGGAAGGGCTTTCAAGGTAGCCTCTCCACTATTGTTTAGATTCTTATTGGGATCATCCTTGTGGATCTCTGGACATTTCCCTAGTGCCAGATTTCTCTTTAAACCTATAATGGCTCCCTCTATTAAGGTGTCTCTTTTGTTGCTCTCCTCTATTCCTCCTGTGTCTCAGTCTTCCTTACCCCTCTTGTTCTCCTCCCCTCCTCTTGCCCCCTTCTCTTTTTCAACCTCCCTCCCTCACCCTGTTCCCAGTTTGCTCAGGGATTCTTGTCCCTTTCCCCTTCTTTGTGGGACCATGTTTTTTCTCTTAGAGTCCTCCTTGTTTCCTAGTTTCTCGGGTGGTGTGGAATGTAGGTTTGTAGTTCTTTGCTCTATGTCTAATATCTAGCTATCAGTCTTGGTTCCATGAGTTCCCCCTTGTTCACGTCAGCTGTTTTTGTGGGTTTCTCTAGTCTGGTCTTGACCGCTTTGCTCATCACTTCTCCCTCTCTAGTACTCGATTCCAGGAGTACAGCTTTGTGCTTCCATCAGCAACTGGGTGAAGGGTCTAGGATGGCAATTAAGGTAGTCCTCATATATATTCTTATCTCACTTCCTCAAAAAAGTGCCATTCTTTGACAGTATGTGAACTATCTTTTTTCACTTTATCATATGGAAAGATTATATTTTCCTTGTAAGGGAACCATAGGCATTGTCCATTGGTCACAAAATTGAAATAATGATCAATGGTTCAATAATACTGCTCAACTAACAATAGGCATTTTTAAAAAGCTGAATTCCTAGATCCAACTTTTAAAAACATTGAATTCATGGAATCTAAGATGGAACTAAAGTTTTCATTCTCCAGCTTCTGCTCCTTGGAGAGACCAAACTTCA